TTCACTCATTCAGCATTAAGAATAGAGCTTTGCCAAAAAAAAAAAAAAAAGAAAGAAAAAAAAAGAGAGCTTAATTGGCGATGGCTTTACTTCGCGTTTTTGTCTCTTCTGGCCTTTTGTTTCTCATATGTCATGCTATGGCTGCAGCCAGAGATCTCCCGGAATCTGCTCAGATTAATACACGTGAGTCCATTTGTATATACTCCGTACTATGGGTGGGGTTCACATGACATTGGAATCCAATGTTATGGGATGATCTGGGGGCGCTCCGATGTCCTGTTCGTAAAATTGACGGTTCTTACCCCCTAACCCCCCGGTAAACCCCCCCACCCCGCCCCAATCCGAACACACCCCCTACCCCCGTCAATTACACCCCACAAGTTGATTTTAACTTTGGAGTCAAATTTTGACTCCAAAGTCAAAATCAACTTGTGGGGTGAAATTGAAGGGGGTGGGGGTGTGTTCGGGTCGGGGCGGTATGGGGGTTTACCGGAAGGATTAGGGGTAGGAACCGTCAATTTTACGAACGAAGCACCGGAGCACCCCCGGGTCAATTAGACATTAGTTCCAATGTCATGGGAACCTTGGTGCCGTACTATATATAGTGTGTATTAGAGTATACAATATCTTTTGGTCTATGACAATTAACCTAACTAGTGCATCACCCGTGTCGTGCACGGGAATATAATATATATATAATTAGAGTAATCAACATGATAATGTTGCTTTGTTTATTTGTAAAATTAAATGCTACAAAAATGATAAATGAATATAACACTGTGAAATGTATTCATTTAATATTGTTAACTTATATTTTCTCCTTTCAACAAAATACTTCATATTTCATATTTTACAATCCACCAAAAGACTTCCGGTCCACTTTTTATTAAAAACTCATTTTTAACTCTACTTTTTTACCTATCAATTACATCTTTTTTTTTCCAATAATAATATATATATCACATCTTACTTTTATTATTACATTGATGGCAAAATTGGAAGGTCAACATCAATTTAATTATTCTTTATTTTGGTATTTCTAAATATTTGACTAAATTTAAACACTTCATCATATGTAAATGTGTAAACAAATTAACGTGTAGATTTTGATACTTCGATTGTCATCTCAACGGTCAATATTACTCTTTTTGTAATTATATTATTTTCAACACGAGTTATATGAATGCAGGTTAAATTGTTTCTACCATGTTTGCTATTCGATTAGTGTTCAGTTCAAGACATTTTGTTCTAACATGAGCATTTTAAAATTTGATTTTTATATATTATTAAATTTTGACTTTTTGCAGTAAAAAAATTATATTGGATATGGATAAAAAATAGTTTTATTTTGTAAAATATTTTCAAAATACAAATTATTTTTTTTATCAAATTAATATATCATGTTATTTTTATTTAATTACAGGTCAAATATCGATCCTTGTTAACTGTAAAAAATAAAAAATAAATAAATACTTTAAGACGGTAGAAGTATTGCGGAGTAGAAATTGAATTACGTGTTATGGCATACTCCCATCCATCCAAAAATTTCATGCCCACTTTCTTTTTTGAACCATGCTATACTTACACCAAAATTATACCCCAAACTTACACCAAAGGTATACTCCAACATTTTGATGACACTGACACAAAGTGTTGGTGCATTAACAAAAATTTACATTGAAACAAAGTATTGGTGCGTTAACAAAAATTAGCATTACAACGGCTTTGTTTGGTAACCGCGTTTTCGATTAGCATTAGCGTTTTGGATAAAATTTTAACGGTGCAGATTAATTCTGAAAACGCTAACGCTAAAAGCTACCTTTGGATAGCTTTTTCAAAACTCTAACGCTAATCTATGACGCTGATGCCAAACAGGGCCAACAACACAAAATGTTAGTGTACACTTACCGTGTACAAATGGGGTAAAAACCCTTGGAATACAAATAGCTTTATCCTTTTTTTTTTCTATCTATAAATTTTTTTCTTTTACTTTATTTGACAAATTTTTATGTGTAAAATTTCTTATAGAGAGAGTATATTTGAAGCGTACATAGTGCATTTTACATGGTTATTTGTAAACCCTTCTGATCACAACAATATAAACGCATTGAATTTAGGTTGACATAATCACATGTACTCCCTCCGTTTCTTAAAGCGTTTCCTATTTTGACTTTGGGGCAAAATAAGAAAAGTGTAATTTTAGTTGACTTTCCAATTTTACCCCTGATGTGATGGGTAAAAGTAAGATGTGATAGTTTAGTTATTAGTGAAAAAGTATGATGTGATAAGTAGGGTATGAAAAGTAAGGGTAAAAGTGGTTTTTTAATAGAAAAAGGAAGTCTTTTAAGGAAAACAAAAAAATGAAAGAGGAAAAGTTTTAAGAAACGGAGAGAATATTATTTTTTGCTTGTGAAACGGTTGTGTGTGTATGTGTGTACTAAAAACGGACATCCTTCGGATGAAGTTGAGGGTACAATCACAGCCGTTGAAGCTGGGCGCCCAATATGTCGTCGTCATGGATGCCCTCCGGCAAGTCAGCCGCCGCCGCCACCGACAATAGGAAAATGTTCAAACAATGATGAGAATCAAAAGATGAATGCTGCTAACTCTATACACCTTGATGATGGCCGTGATGGATATAATGGTTGTAATTAGTGCAATCAAATAGTAATGCAATACACACACACACACATATATGTATGATCAAACAATAGTGTACGAATAAATAAATACTCCGGATAATAATAAATACTCTCTTCGCGTCTTAAACAATGTAATGTTGTACTCTCTCCGTCCCTAAATATTTGCCACATTTGCTTTTTCAGCAGTCGCAGAAACTTTTGTTTATTTATACGTTTTCATTGGTTATTTGATAAAATAAAATATTCTTGACACCTCTTATTTCGAAGAACTTTTCATGTAGTTTTTTGATATGTAAATTTTATTTTTTATTTTTATATCGATATGTAAATAAAATGAATTGAAAAAAATTGATATTTTACCTCAGTAATAGAAGTGTTACAAATATTTAGGGACGAAGGGAGTACGTTTTAGTTGTTCTAAGAAAAAAAGATATACTCTCTAGCTATTATGATGTGGTTATAATAATAAATCTATCTCTTATACTACCTCCGTCCCACTGTCTTTGTCCACTTTTGACTTTTGAAACTGTTCATCTAAGCACTTTGACTCATCAAATTCTCTCAATGTGTAAGCCTAAATATAGTCATGTGTGATCTTGTTTGATTTGTCTTAACATATAGATTATTAATATATAATTTCTATAATTTTTTAATATACAAATTACAAGATAAAATGGATTAAAGAAGTGCATTGGATGGTGTGCTAAAAGGTAAGTGGACAAAGACAGTAGGACGGAGGGAGTAACAAGAGTTGAAGTGAACGGC